CTCAACAAATGCAGCAACTGAGGAGAATGAAGGAGAAATCTTGTAGCCCAGAGGAGAAGCAGCCGATGTTAAAGGAACTGCATTTCCCGGTGCAATACAGAAGTGTGTCGGTGGAAATCCAAGCAGATGCACCTCTCAGGGGAAGAAGCAGAATCTGGCTTAGCAGCAGGATATGTTTCAGAGATGGATGCCCAGGAAGCTTCTTGTGGTTCAGAAGGTGCCCAGAACATCTGCTTCCTCCACCCCAGGCTAGGACTAGACTTGCCCATGGTCCCTTCAACTTGTGAGTACAGCAGGGACCCAACTGTGACTAAGTCCCAGGTGGCTCCTTGCTTCCTCCTTGTCCTAATTTATTGCCTGAACATGCTAGTTTGGTCTGTGCTGGCTGGAGCTATCAGTGCACGTGGAGATGGTGCTTCTTCCCAGCTGCTCCACGCACACGGAAAGATGCAGGAGCGGATCAGCTCCTCTACCCTTACTGTGATCCTCACTGCAGGTTAGTGTGACACCACCCTGCCAGAAAGCAAAGGAGACTCCTTATCATGCTGAGTGAGGAGCTGAGCTCACAGCATGGCCATCAGTCTGGTTTCATGGGCCACCTGCAGAAGTTAGGTCTAAAGACCTAACTCAAGGCCAAACTGAAGCTGGTTGGTGGACATGGATGGAAGAAGGATCAAGCAGTGCTCGGTCCCCTGGGCTTCCTTCAGTGATGCTGTGCAAGAGCAGACAGAAGAGATTAAATGTGTGGGGACGTCCAATCCTCATCAGTGAGGAGAACATTTAGAACAAGCGAGACCTGCAGCTGGGTTGTGCTTGACATCCCCAGGCTCTAGGGATTTCAGTGTAGACACTGGAAAGAGGCAGTGGGAAAGAAGATCCCTTGGTGTAGGTAATGCCCTGCATCCTTTCCCGTGTCTCGCCATGGCCCACCTGCTGTGCTTTCAGAGTGCTGCTGCCTTCCCCTCCGAACTCTAGACTCCAAGAGTTAAAAAGCTCTAGAACAACCTAAAACAGCGGCCAAAAATCTCAGCTGCACAGTTTTAGGGACTGAACGGCATTTAGGACAATATTCCTGGGTGCCACTGAGGTCCCTAGCTGACCTTGGGGGTACATTGAAGTCTTCTAACATCTGAATTTCTCCTAGCAGAGCTTTGTAAGTGCGTGTATATCTGCTGCTTTGCAGGTGGACATGTGTTTAAATGTGCTCCTCGCTGCTCAGCTCACACCTACACCAGGTCAGATTTCACAACCAGACACTTTCTTCTCCCTCGGCCCTTGCTGGCCCCAAACTGGTGCACATTTCCAGGGCACACCCAACTTATGCAAGTTATAGCAACCCCTCTGCTTGCTTAGGTACAGACCCAGGCTGAAATTCTTCATTTCCCTGTTGTAACTTGCAGCTTTAGCCCCACCATTTGATGCTGTTGCCTTTTCCAAGGACTGTAACAGACCAGATACTGAGTACAACGTTAAGGCCACTTTCCAGGCCTTAATACAAGAAGACTTGTATTTTTGTCACTGTTAGCACAGACAGCAAACTTCAATGCACAAAGGGCCATACAGCATTCAGAAGAGAGGAGTCACTCGCCATGTCCTATAACCTCATTGTTAATTACGTTTGCCCAGGAATCAATGAGTTTGTATCTTCTGAGGAACCTGAACCTGCCACTGTCCTCCTGAGCAAGGGCCACTACCAAAAGATCAGTTCCTCCACGGAGGAGAGCTGTCACCTCACCTGAATTCTCTGGGAAAGAAAGGCCATATCAGCTCTCGTTTGATATGAGGCCACCAAAACACCAAGACCCGAGTCCACAGAGGAACAGGGATGAGCCGTGAGCAGGCCCTCCACATCTGTGAAGAACGGGATGACGTTGCTGCAGCCCATCACCGTCAGAGGCAAGTTCAGACCCCAAGTCTCAAGGGCAAAGTCCTTGCATGGGATGTCACCCATCAGCACTGCTCTGAACCAGCTGATCCCAGTGTGCTGCCTGCTGTTACACCAGGACCAGCGAAGAGGAGACCGTGCTACGTGTGCTCATGGTGGTCATCCTTCCTTTGTTTCCAGACACCGGGTGCTGCTTCTGGGAAGTGAACCCCTGCTGAATTTCGTACTCTTTCTGCATATCTCTCTCAGCCATAACCCAAGTAATGATCTGTCGCCTCCAATCCATCTCTTCTCCATTTCTCACCTTGTCACGTCACATAATTAACCTCTCCTACACACATGGGTTTCACCAGGCAACGGTTTGCCACCGGCAGCCCTCGTGAGGGCAAAGATCTCCCAACCCTTTCCTCGCTTGGCTAAGACAAAGATCATTCGTAAATGTTGCTGTTTCTGTGTTAGGTCTCGTTACTTTCCAGGGTCAGGCTTTCCTTTCAACCCTCCGATTTTCACCCTCCCTTTCCAAGGCTGGTACCCAGGGCTGGACCTCGCTGTGCAGCCCTGTAGAGAGCAGCCAGGGGTGTTCTCCTGGTGAGAGGCTGTGCAATGCTGTGTTGTCCCTGGATACCAATTCCTGGGGAAAATAACATGATTACCTCCCCCTCACGCTCCTTCCAGTTTAAAACAGGTTCAGAATGAGCTTTACTGGGAAGGACAATCACACAATTATCTGTATTCGATGCAAACAAAGAGGAAGCCAGGGGATGGGGATGGGACACAGCCTCTTTCTCCTCCAGGAGGCTGGGTCTTAGCCAGGCTGCAGTACATGGCTGAAGGACGCACACAGTCATGAGAAAAGAGGCAACAGATTAAAATGAAGGAAGTATCCACCACGCAAACATGCACCGCATGCACCAGCTTTCACGGCTGCCTCAACAGAGAGGTACCACGCCAAGGCTGCCGAGAAGGATGAATTCCCCTGGTGACTCTAGCAGGGGCTAAGGGAAATGCTGGTGGAGGGTGATTTCAAACAGTTTGTGTTCCTCCAGGGAGAGATTATTTTGGCTTTCGAACTCTATTCTGAAATGCAGGGCAACAGCAAGAGCAGGGTTGGACACCAAGCCCAGGGAAGAGGTGGGGTTAGTCTGGCGTTGACTCACCTACAACCTGGAGCATCACATGCACACTGGCACAGAAGACATGAGCTCGGGCTCCATAGTTACTGCATCCTCCCCTACTAAACCAGATGTGAGGACGTGCTCAGAGGGGGTGGCTTGGCATCCGGAGTAGCTGCTGGCAGCCTTGGGCGCGCTCTCCACTGGCAAGGAAGTGCAGGCATCTCCAGCCTTCTCCGGAGACCAGGCAACAGGTCCTGTCCTAGCAGATGTCTGTGCATCAGCAGTATGGACCTGGTCTGACCTGACAGTGGGGCATCTTTCCAAAGAGGAGCTGCCCTGCATTTTCCCCTAAACCCTTGGCTTACGATGCTGGGCTCACCTCATTCCCGTAGGAACTGGTAGGCTGGAAGGACTCGGCAGTTTTCCTACATTGGAGACACAGGGGAAAGGCCATGACAACCTCTGCCAACAGCTTCTGGCAGCAAATGTCTCTTCACTGTAAGCGTGAAGGGCAGGCCGAGGGTAAGTATTCGAGCAAGAGCTGTCCTGCCAGGGCTCTCCACATGGTCCTGCCCCATGAGCCTCTCACGCAGGGGTGGTTAGTGTCACGTGTCCAGGTTGGGCTGGTTTCATGGACCAAGGAGGTGGTAACTAGCACCTCTCCTCCTGGCCCTGGTGTCAGCCTCTCCTTCCCTCCTTTAGCCTGCGGGCTGGAACCATTCCCTACA